CCCCCCACCCCGGTGCAGTGCTACTGACTGAAGTGTCTTTAGGCCATTCCCAAAGGGGGGACATTAACTTGTTCTTATGCACAGTAGAATTGTAAATGGGCTGATTCAACGTCATGCTCATAACTGTGCCTGAACTGCAACAGGGAACTGCTGCTTTTTCTTTCCTAATCCTTACTATCGTCTTTTTTCCTCTACTTCTTTTGTATGTTTGTCACACTCTTGTGATCCCCATATTTCCGGGGTGCCTTGGTAGTGGAAGCAGACTTTGTGCTGTTGAAGATAGACAGGTGAGCAGAGTAAGCCTGTAAGGGCTTCTCTGTTGACATCCACCCCTTGGCGCTCATATGACCTTTTGCAGTTGCGAGCACCGTAAAACCTCTACCCCCAAATTCCACCCTGATATGTTACCTATTTGTGTTGAAAGTGTCATAAAACTGATTTTATTTTTACTTTTAAAAAATTATCACTTCAGGAGTAGAACAATCCTCGATGATTTCCGTGAAGCGTACTACTGGCTGAGACAGAACACTGACGATAAGGCCCGCATCATGTCCTGGTGGGACTACGGCTACCAGATAGCGGGTATGGGCAACCGGACGACGCTAGTGGACAACAATACTTGGAACAATAGTCATATAGCCCTGGTGAGTTGCAAGACCAATAGTCGCAGCTCACTCCCTCACACCTGGCACCTGTTTGTTCTAGTTGTGGGGAAATATATCATGGATGGTTGGTGGGTACTATGGTATGGTTTGTTACATCTTTCCTTTCAGACATCTACCGTCCTTATCTCTCCTTCTTTTATGTGTTTTTTACCTTCTTGTAACACCTATAATCGTTGGCACTTACGACTTTATAGGACCTTATTGTGTTGCAAATGCCGTAAAATGCTTTCTAAAGCAGGGGGAATATATTGATTGTTTAACACAGCTTAATTCTAGTGGGGCACAAGAAGACAAGAAGGGTCTGTGTGTGCATTATGGGGGGGGGGGAGAAGATATGTAGAATGAGAGGAGGAGGAGAGAGTTTGAATTTAGGAGGAAAAAAAATCTTCTATTTAGTGTCTTGGTCCTAGTGTTGTGATGAGGTGTTGAATTTTCATACAAGGGTTTGTTGATTAAATTCCCAGCATGTCCAGACCGATGGTCTATCCGTAAGAAAGGTGCTATGCCTAATTATTGTTCCTTCGTTGGGCTGTTTTTGACCATTTGTGTCACGACCTGGTTGAATCAGGCCTCCCCAATTTTTTGGCATATGGAGTTATTGGGATCACTTTAAAGCCTGTCCATTTGCCTTGATGAAAAAATACCCATTAATCTTGGATACAAATCGAGATATTGGCGATTGAAGGAGGGGGATCGCCTGGTTTCAGAGGTAAAATTATCGAAAAAAAATGGCAGCCCAAGTTTAGTTATTTCCTTAGCTTGAGAGCCCATGGAAACTGAAAATTTACATCTTTTATGCATTTAATCAAGGTTTGTCTGTAAAATCTACACGAAAATGTATTTTTGACAGGCGTGAAAGGTGTTGAGTCGAAAACCCAAAATGGGATAAAAATTCCCATTCTTGCGGAAAAATGCCAGTTTCTCCACTGTAATTATTTTGACGAGCGCCTGATTTCACCACGCTGCCTCACGTTTACTTTTCTGGTACCAGGTGGGCAAAGCGATGTCGTCCAATGAGACGGCTGCATACGAGATTATGAGGATGCTGGATGTGAACTATGTGCTGGTCATCTTTGGCGGGGTCATAGGTTACTCTGGGGACGACATCAACAAGTTCCTGTGGATGGTGCGCATCGCTGAGGGAGAGCATCCACGGGACATCAAGGTATGTACAAGAGAGAGGGAGAGAAAGATATATTCAATTGAAGTGGCGGGGTTGGGGATATTTGTAGAGTTCTCTTACTAAATGAGATGCCTACTTTTGATTGGTAACGATCTCGTCACGTGGTTGGAGGGCCCCATTGATAGGTCCTCTTACTTCTGTTTTTTTCTCTTGGTCGTTTCTGTCTGTCTTCATTGCTTTCAAATAGCACTAAACGGCTTTTATATTGTGAATGTGTTTCTCTTTACACAAACAAAAGAGCAAACAAGTAAGCAAAAGTAATCCAGTTGGGTCTAGAGATTCTGTTAGGTCTTACGTGGTGTTAACTTTGCTCTTTATAACTATTGCAAGTCTTTAGTTTTGTCTGACCAGTGGATTGGTGGGGGTTCTGATGTGGTCTGCATTATTTAATTCTATTTTAGCAAACAAATCAACAAAGTTTTTTTCCCAAGTCTGTGTATACCATTGGTGTATAGTTCTTAGGGTGTTTGTACTTTTTGACTGACAAGGACTAAGCAGATTAATGCGCTGATAATTTTCTTGTGTTGACTTGTTTTTTAAATTAATGCTATGTCTGGTCACACACACACACACACCACCACCACTACATCCACCATCCTGTTTCGTCCGGCTGCCAGGAAGTGGACTACTTTACGCCCCAGGGAGAGTTCCGCGTGGATGCGGCTGGCTCTAAGACCTTGCTCAACTGTCTGATGTACAAGCTCTCCTACTACAGATTCGGTCAGATGCAGGTATTGTGTTGTGGAGCACTCTGAGATTGGAGGGCTGGCGCATTCTGTCTCTTTACACTCTTTGTTAAACCCATGTAATGAGAAAAGGAAAGTGTAATTGTAAATGTTTTATACCCCCATTGAAACTGAAACAGGCATTGGTGATCATGGTTACTTTAATCATTTCTGTCCATGGCAGACATTTTTGATCGTGGTTCCTTTAATCATATCTCTCCAAGGATGCTCTCAAAAGCTTGTTTTATTAATTGCAGGTCTTTTCAAGTGTTGTAGAAACTGTTTAACTCCCTGACTACTAGGCCCTTTCACCAGTCACTAGCGCTGAATACTGTCATTTTTGGAGGGTTTTCAAAACACCACCACAACTTTCAGAATTACCCTTTTTTAAGGATTTTTTTACCTTGTAAAGTTACATTCAAGCTTAATCTAATAGAACAAACAAATGTAGTCTTAGTTTAATACTTTAATTTTTATCATAAAAAAAAATTGGCATGAATTTGACTTTCCGAAAAATTTCCAGAGACATGACAGACAAAATGAAATTCACAACAACGAAAATAAATGATCGAAGTGTTCATTTTTTATTTGTATGCATGTGTAAGTGTTTGGTGAAAATATAAAAGCTGGGCTGTGCGTTGATGCAGACCCATACACTGAATTACATGAGGCAGATGTACGACACGAAGTTGTGATTTTGTTGTGCTAACAACAGCACGACTGCGAGTGCTAGATCTAGCCTTGGTACAATTTTCGGAACAAAACCGCAAAGTCCATCCCGTCAGGGGTGCAGGATTCATAATGGGACTCTTTCTGTGCTAACTCATTTGATTTGTATTTCTTCCATGAAATTCTCAACTGCCTCCTAAGAAACAACATTTCTGTTGTCTTTCGCTGTCTTTAATAATTGCGCAGCATTCACAGCCATGACATTGCGTACTTGACAGTTTTTCTTCTGATGTTTCCTTTCAGCTGGATTTCCGTAGCCCAGCAGGCTTTGATCGTACTCGGGGCGTGGAGATTGGCAACAAGAACTTTGACCTGACTCACGTGGAGGAGGCCTACACCACAGGTACGCACCCACAGGGGGCTGAGGGAACATGTTTGGTAACCACTCAAGACAGTGAATATGTTGAAGTTCTTTAGTTTAGTTCCTGATGGGGGGGGGGGGGGTTAGGGATAATACAGTCAAACCTGCCCTGACGGCCACCTATAAGACGGCCACCTGTACAAACAGCCACTTTCCATCCCCCCCCGCCCCCCCGCGTTTTTTCTATATAATTTAGCTGTGTAAAACGGGCACCTGTCCAACGCGGCCGCGGCCACCATATTTTAACACACAACACCTATCATCACACTTAGGCGGCCACCTTAGTGACTCCTTGACGTTTTGTCATAAATTGTGCATTGGCCCCTGACGTTGTGGGCGAGCCGTCATAATTCAATCACCTGTCGCTGTTGTTAGGTAGTGCCTTCAACTGATTATGTTGCGTAGGCCCCTCCCACTGTTGACCAATAGGTACCAATTTTCAGCTGCTGGTGAGGTAAGCGTGTGATCCCTCATAACCCATAAGCCCCGCCTAGAACGTATACACAAATCGTAAGTGAGATAAGTGGTCACTGTTTACCCAGTCTGCAACAAAGTAACAAAGGACGTCAACTTGAACTTTCGACAGAAGCGTCGCTCGTTCTAAGTGGTGGCGACCCTTGTGTTTGTTTTAACACGGCACTCGGTCTTCCTCGTCTGATACATTTCGTTTTACTAGATCTATCACCCTTGCGCAAATCAGCAACAAAATAAAAATTACAAAACAAAATACAAACTAACAACCACTACAACAACAAAAACAACAACAATGCGGCCACTTTCGATTGGGACCTCAGATGGGATTGGCTTGTTTTCTTCATCTTGATCAGTCCTGCCTAAGACGGCCACCTGTCTTATACGACCACTTTTCTCCTTGACAATGGATAGCCGTCTTACACAGGTTTGACTGTATATTATTTGTAACTTGTCTTCTTCTGGTCTCAAAGCATGAGATGGCTGTTGTAATTTTTAAGGGAGAGTTCTCCATTGTTTGAGCGCAGGAAAGTTTTTTGTTCTTTTAACTCCGTCCGTATGCCTTGGGGTCATTTTGTACCCCCAGGGTTGTATTCTTTACATTTTAGAATACTTCTGGTACGAAGATCTCTTTGAAACTTTCAGTATTTCTCAAAAAACCATTTTGACAGACTGCTTTGCAAAGCGTACAGATCGCATTAACGAATATATTTCCTCTTTGGAAAGTGGTGGCACAGAGTTCCTGACGTCGTATGGATATGATAGTAAAACATGACTTATGGATAGGGATAGGGTTAACCATGATGCCTTATATTACATTACGAGTCTTTTATAGGCACACAAAGCTTATTACGAAGTAAACACATTGCCTGCTCCGGGTTGTCTTCCAACACAGAGCATTTATCGCATTTGATTCAACTTGTGTAGAATAAATTATGTTCCACTCAAATACTCTGAAGCTTTGAATGGAAGTGTTTGTGCCGTACTGTTTTAAGCTGGAGTATACACACACAGTGCTCAGTCTCTCCAACGTTGCCTTACATTACAATATGAGTCTTTTGTAGGCACACAAAGCTAATTATGAAGTAAACACGGTGCCTGTTCCCGGTTGTTTTCCCACACAGAGCACTGGCTTGTCCGGATCTACAAAGTGAAGGACCTGGAGAATCGCGATAACCTCAAAACTCCGCACCGGCCGGTGAAAAAGTCACGTCGCAAGTCCAAGAAGGTGAGAGGGGTGGGTTGTCTGGCAAGGAAAGTCAGCGCTGGTCATGTTTATGCCGATATTAAAAAATATTTAATGGTTACGTTTCTGCCTTTGGTTCTCTGTGCATGTCTTGACGACAAGCGACCTTGTTTTGCGTGAAGGAAGATGCTTGCCTCTCATTTCAAAGTTCCTAGTTTGAGTCTCAGTTCATATGGGCATGGTTTGTGGGTAACTCCTCGCCATTCATTCCTTTGCTGGAATGTTCTCAAAAAAGCTATTTTTCCCTGATATTTCCCCGTCACCTGTTTGTATAGGCTTTCCAAGTAAGTTCCTAGAAAACACTCCCCCAAAAGACCCTGACAAGATTTGCGCAAAGTGCATTAGTTTTTGCTTAATGTTCTCAGATCATATGAACTTGACCTTTCATGGCTTGGAAATGCAGTATTATGAAGTGCCGCACGAGTATTCATTATTTCATGTGCCTTATTTATTTTTACATTTAAGTAAGTTCATTACAGGCTTTTTGGTTGGTTTATTTGGAAGAGTCGAATCATCTGAAAATCTAAATCTTTTGAAGTCTTTCCTCCCATGCTAGTCATTGTTTACAGAGGATTCTTAAAAATTCTCCAGTTTTTGGTCCTGGAGGGTTTGTTAGATCTGTAAGACATAGACTAGATGGCCAGAGAGTGTTGGAAATGGACGGAATGCAAGTTGAAGTAAAGTCCTACCCCCACCTGTCTGATTGACTTTTACTACGTCTTATGGGGTGAGAGTTATGGAGAAGGTTTGGGCGACGCTTGTGTAAGCTGCTTTCACGTTGTTTTTGCACAGAAAGCTTTGACTTTATTTTGGTGTAATCTCATTTTGAATTTAT